TGCCCAAATTCATAGCTAATAAGTCACAGAACTGTGACAGGAGTTCTATTTCTCCAACTCCCAGCCCTGACAACTTCCACTCCACTGTGCTGGTTCCATTCATTAGCATGTGAACATTTCAGGTAGGATATGAAGAAGTCAGGGTTTCTAAAGACTCTAAGATAATCTAGGTGCTATTTAGACCTTCATAGACCTTCATTAAATGCATTGAAAAATAAAAGTTTCATTAGAAACTCCTATTTTGTGGGAAATAATTAGATTTCCCTCAATGTGGCTAAGGAAGCAATAAATGGTAACACTGCTAGATAGATGAATTGTTGCTATTGCTATTCAAAAGGAACAGACAGATATTGTGGCCAATTCTCCTGCCCCCAAATATTCTTAAGCAGGTTTGGATCCTGTTTCCTCTGCCCTTCTTCACTTGGAATTTTTGGTTTTTGGCTGTGCTGCTCAGCTTGCGGGATCTTAGATCCCTGACCAGGGATCAAACCCGGCCCCGGCAGTGAAAGCACAGAGACCTAACCACTGCACTGCCAGGGAATTCCCTGCCCTTCTGCACTCTGAATACCAGTATAGATTTGTTGGATAAAAGACTCTGTGCTGAGTGTGAGTACCAGGATCTTTCCTTAGAATCATTAACTGTAACTATAAATCAGATGGATTTATGTTCATTTCATTTCTTAAACCACACTGTGGTGGTTTTTATATGAATTGAGTTCCTATTGTTGAGTCTTTCTAAACATCAGAAGCTGTCCCAAAGACTTCCTGTGGTAGTATAGTCCATGGGGTAATTGTATTAGGATAATAGGGTTGAAACATTTCATAATTTAATGAGTTTGTAGATTTATTCCCAGAATTAAAAAAGAACCTCTATGAATGTCAAATTCCATAATTATCTGACAGAACAGAATTTGGCTCTATTTAACCAACTGGCATACTCTCCATAGATAACATGGCTTGATTAATATAAAGAGCACATTTCCCACACCCCTCCACTCAGGCATCAGAAATTCATTAAATATAAAGCCTTACATAATTCTGTAAAGAAGCTCACTTCTCTGCAGTTTTTCTAGCTTCTAAATTAGATATTAAAGAAGAAATATCATTCTTTAGGTGCAGGCTTTCAGCTTTCCCTGAAATGGAGTGGCTGGTTATGGTCCAGCATACAAACTGGCTTGGGTTTGATGGAATTTAGTTAATAATAATAATAATAATAAAATACAAAGTCCCCTTGGTGTTAACAAGCAAATTCTGGGGAGAGAGATGAGAATAGGATGTGGATCGAGTCTATAAGTGGCCTAGGCCTCGAAGATTCCTTCTGGAACTAGGTACACACATTTGGGTTTCTTTGGATTAGAAACATAAAAGCATAATGTGTGCCTTTAATTAAATTTTTTTTCCAGTAGAACTCTTGCCAAATGGCCAAAGAAACATAGAGCTGGATAGAAACAATAGCTGACATTTATGTTCTAGGTATTTTACATGAATATTGTTTAACCCTCACAAACAACCCTTTAAGAAGGTACAATTATTATTTTCCTTCTTTGAAAGATGAAGAAACCGGAGCCCAAAAAGTTTAGGCAACATCCCGTAGGATAATCTGGCTTGCAAACACAAACAAATAGTAAGACTGCAGAGTCTGAGATCCTGAGGTCCCGAAGATAGGCCCTATCGCCTCCCAAACTCTGCTGCCTCTCCATGGAGGGGTAGGGAGACTTACAGTGCTTTTCACAGGAAGACTGCTAAGTGCTTCTCTTGAATATTATGATTATTTTCCACAGCAGTCCTTTCATGCAGCTTATAAGCCAAGAACTGGGGGTCCATCAAGTGGAAAGTGACTTGTGTAAGACATTCCCTGTGTTCCTGGGAGATCCTGGCAGAAGGCGAAGAGGCTCTTACCATTACTCCTGGGAATTCACCAATGGCTAGTACTCCTCCCAGCTCCTCATTGTGAAAGACAAACAGCATCCGTCCTAGTTGGAGTGTACTCATTTGATACTTGTTCTGTATTTCTCCCTAGTGGCCAACATTCCTGGCAGAGAAAAGGAAACCAGGATAGTAACCATTGTAGAGTATGAAATTGCTTCTTATCTGAATCCATACTCTAAACCTCCTTCAGTGCTTTCATAAATCATCCCACACTGATAGAATTATTTTTTATGACTCATAGGTATATTTTACTTTTCCAGTTTTATCCTCTTTACTTTCAAGGAGAAGATTGGATGATGGAGAAGAGAGATTCACCTGCAGAGCTATGTTGGATTTTATTTAACCCTGACACATAGACTGTGGACTAAAAAAAAGAAATATGCCCAGCTTAGTGTTATGTATAAAAATACTTTTTAAAGTTTTACAGAATATAATCCAATGACAAAAGTCATTCACTTAACAAGAATTTATTGAGTTCTTTCTAGGTATAAAGCACTGCAATAGGTGCTGAAGTACAAAAATAAACCTACCTCATCCCTGCCCTCAAGATGCTTATACTCTTGGGTGTAATATTGTGTGACCATTTGTCTGGGCCTGCCTGAGGCAGTCTTGGTTTACACCTGTTTCCCCAATGTAATTATAAACAATATTCTCTTTCACTCTCAAAAGTGTCCCAGCTTAGATGACAAATTGCATATACCCTAGCAAGACTATTTCCCACTAGATGATGTTTTTAAAATACTTGTAATTCTTGGATATACTATAAATAAAAAGTACAAACCGCAAAGCTGCAAAAAGTATACTGACACACTGTCTTCATTTTGGAATCACTATTCCTGTCTCTATATGTCAGTTGAAGTAAGTTCATTGCGAAAGTGTGGCATTTGGTCTTACATTATTCTTTAAAATGCAACTACTGTTCAATCTCTATTGAGAGGATGAAATATATTGGCTAGAAAACTTAAGAAGATGAGAGAATCCTGCCATAAATGGAGATAATAATATGTATCATACATTTAACCCCAGTTTTATAGGAGCCAAAGGTAAATAGGACACAGGAGCCCTTGGGGGCCAGGGAAGTGTCAGGTGGAGCAGAAAAAGCAACGATTGGAGGCATTTGGGGTCACGAGCCTCTGATCTCAGAGTTCAAGGTGGCGTCTTTCCCTCTCTTGGACTCTTTGGTCTCTCTCCCATTCCTATACGTACTGAACTCATTAGTTTTTAAAGTCACCTGCGATGTGCTTTTGTGAAAGGTTGGTGTCTGCAGAACTTCTAATTACACATTACTTTGTGTACTGTTGTCTGAATATGTATATGTACGTATTTTGATATTGAAGACAAGCTATTTTTAGTTTCCTTTTGGGTATGTTTGGAGAAACTCTTAACTGTGGCTATGCTGCTATGGAAACAGTATCCATGTATACTGACATGTTTACAATTGTTTAAAACACTATAAACTTTCTAGGGCAAAGGCAAACAGCTTACTTCCATCAAAGTTGCTCCCTGGTTTCCTTTTTTATTAGTTTATTTATTACTCTCAGACCCATGTTGGAATCTGTTTCATCTGTGCCTGCATTAAAGAGCTGTTTTTTGCTGACGTGCATCATTTAATTGATTTCACATTCTTAACTACAGTAGCCCTGAGAACAGATGAAAAGTTTACCCTGAAATCAGGAATATTCTTTGGCCTTGCTAGAAAGTGAGAATTAAATACCTCCTAGGCTCCCAAATGAAAAAAATGGAATAATACCTCTTGAGGGTATGTTGACTATCTAGAATTTTCAAGTGTAGGATAATCATTTCAATGTAACTACTGTAATTATTATTTGTGTGTACAGAATGAATTTAAAGACTAGGCTAATTGCTTCAAAACATGCAAACCCAAAAAGGAGTTTTCTGGCTTATTCCAAGCATGGAGAAAAGTAGGTGGCTAAGAATCTTTACAATTTCTAGAAAAAGAATCTTAACAAAGCCACATGAATTGAAGTGAATAAGAACCATGTTTGTTTGAAAGTACCAGGAAAGTGATTTTTGGCAGGGTAGTTTTCCAGGAGCCAAAAAGTATTTTAAAGTGGAACCGGTAATTGTGAATCATACAATGGTGTGTCCTGACTACATAAAAGGGCACATACTCTAGCGGAGCATAATATTTTAAAGGATTTTAAACACAGAGTACTTACTCCTTAAAAAACTTCTCTTTTCCAAAATTTTGTATCTATTTGGGGTAAGTATACAGTAAAGAAAGTTTCAGCTGTCATGAAGTCTACTTTCCTCTCTCTTCTACTAAAATCTCATTTTTGTCACCTTCCTGAAACGGTCATTTAAAATCACAGATCAAGGGGCTTCCCTGGTGGTGCAGCGGTTAAGAATCTACCTGCCAATGCAGGGGACACAGGTTTGAACCCTGGTCTGGGAAGATCCCACATGCCGCGGAGCAACTAAGCCCGTGTGCCACAACTACTGAAGTCCGCGCACCTAGAGCTCGTGCTCTGCAACAAGAGAAGCCACTGCAATGAGAAGCCTATGCACCACAACGATGAGTAGCCCCCGCTCGCTGCAACTAGAGAAAGCCCGCGCGCAGCAACAAAGATCCAATGCAACCAAAAATAAATAATAAATTAAGTAAGTAAAAAAAAAATCACAGATCAAAAAAAAACACCCAATGGAGTACAGTTGATTAACAGCTATACTCCAGTATAAAATAAAAATTAAAACAAAAAACAAACACCCAGTGGAAGTCCTGCGGGAAGGGGCATGCTTAGTGGTGAGCTGGGACGTGGGCCTCAAGTGCACGTAGAGATCAGTGAGCCATAAGCCGACAGTCCCCCTCCCTCCCAGGCCCCTTTCCAACAGTGTTTATATACTTTCTCTGCTCCCACTCATCAGCGGACATTCCATTCTAAGCCCTTCAAAGGGACAAGGTTTCTATGATTCTGTTTTTCTTCTTTGTGGGAAGGATTCCTCCCCGACAGGAGCTTAGCAGCAGCTAAGAGACGTGACCCCAAGGCCACATTCAAATTAGAACTCAGTAAAACCCCAGGGTTTGTTGCTTCCTGGCTCTAAAGGCAACTCAGAATGACAACGGTGGCTGGATATTCTACCGTAGGTATGGAGAGTTTACAGGGGGGCCTAACGGGGACGGGAATCTGGGAAGAGTGGGTGTCAAGTGGCTCTGACAACTGCGTCCCTTTAGGGTTGCCCTCAGGATCAGGATGAAAAGGTGGAAGCGGGGTAGCAGCAGCAGTTCGGCTTAACACAGAGCACTCCCCAGACAGCCACTAATTGGCTTACTCCTTTCAGACGTCTCTTAAGCAGCAGATTTCCGTTTCTGTTCTGTTGCCTCTGAGGGGATTTCCCAAATTAACCTCCTCTAAGCTTTCTTGAGGGGCTGTTTTTGAGGGCTGGTGGGGAATTTCCCTCTTCTGACCAAACTGTTGCTGGGAGAGATTTATTGCTGATCTTCGTCTGGGGATTTTCTCACAGGCCTTTGCTACTTCCTGTTTCCCAGGAGTTTCTGCTCTCTGGGAACTGAAGAGCCATCGGGAGAAGGGGACAAACAGGCTTCAGGAAAAAGGAAAGAGGGCATGTTTGATACAATGTTACTCTTCTCCCCTCTTCCGGTTCTTTGCCATAGTGATACTGGATTTGAAGATCAGGCCCAGGGACCTTACTGAGGGTTCAACTGGATTACACTAAACATTCCACAGGAACTTGGGTTGGACAGTGAAATCACAAATCACATGAATGACTGGTTTATTAGAGTAGCTTTCCTTTGTTGGGGATGGATGGAAACTCTTGTTAAAAGAAAGCATTAAAGAATCATCAGTCCTTTTACTTAATGGTAATACTCTACCACTTCTTGAGTGCTTTCTGCGTGTCATGCATGGTGCTGGGTGTTGCATACATGTCTCATTTGATCCTGGCAACAACCCAGAGAAGTAGGCTTTATTAAGGCCCATTTAACAGATGAGCAAACCAAGGCTCTGAGATGTTAGGTAATTTATCCACATTTTCCTGGCCGGTATTAGGAGAGCTCCAATTTTGTGGAACCCCAAAGCCTATATTCATTCAGCTATAAATTTGTCAACTTGAGATTTGTTTCATACATCTTTGAGGTGCTATTACCAGCAGAGTAGTAGAAAGGATCCTGTATAGAAGCAGCCCCCCAAAACCAGGAGTGAAAATATTTTACGGGCAGTATCGACAGTTGTTAGCTTAGCTCTGTATACCTGCCAGGCCCTTTTGCTGTATATTCACCATCTTCACATCACCTGGAAAGTGATGCTGCTGACCTGGGAGTAGGAATCAATATATAAAAGAAGCTCCAATTGAACCAATTAATTAGTTGTTTCTCCTAGAGAACCCTCTACCTAACCGCTGCTTTTCACCTTGCTATTTTCTGCCCTAGCTTTCTACATTTTATCAAGGTCCTTAGAAATAATTCCCCTGAGGACAGGTCCCAGAATATCTCTGACCCTGCTCTGGCCCAGGGAAAATAACCTTCTTGATTGCTCTGAAGCTAGATTACTGTCTCTGTGTGCACGGGTATGTGTGTGTTTTCTTTTATGAGTTTCTCAGTGGGATAGATTATTAGCCACAGTTGACATTTGCGAAGTTCTCCATATACTTTCAGTTCCACCAGAGGAGTTATGAGTGCGGGTGAGGGTTTGGAGGGCAGTACCGGGACTGATATGGCAGATCCTGGGAGTTCCCAAGGGTCGGCTTGGACACCCCTTTCCCACTGCACACTTTGCTGCAGCATCTCCTCTCCAGGGTCTGCCTAGGAGGGCTTCTGACCATATCCTCTTCATCCAAATAGTGAACTCTGATAGCTACCAACTGTTGAGAGTTTACTAGTTGCCAAGTGATTTACCTGCCTTAATGGACCTGACCTTCACCCATGAAGGTAGACAAAATGATTCTCATTTATTTTACCAGTGAGGAAACCAAGGCCCCGGCAAGTTAATGATTGACCCAAAGCCACCTAGTAAGTAATCTGAGAGACTGGGACTCAGATACTGGTCTGTCTGATTCCTAGTTATGGCTTTGTTGTGGGAGAGGGGAGTAAACCTTATTTATGTGTTTATTTTTTATTTATTTATATTGAGATATTATATTCGTTTCAGGTGTACAACATAATTCAATATTTTTGTATATTATGAAATGATCACCAAAATAAGTGCAGTTACCATCTCTTACCATGCAAAGTTGTTACAATATTATTGACTATATTCCCTATGTGTACATTACATCCTTGTGACTTATTTATTAAATAGATAAGTTTGTACCTCTTAATCCCCTTCACCTATTTTGTCCGTTCCCCCACTCTCCTCCCCTCTGGCAACCACCAGTTTGTTCTCTGTATCTATAAGTCTGTTTCTGTTTTAATTTGCTTGTTTGTTTTGTTTTTTAGATTTCATATGTGTATATATATCTCACATCGTTTTTTATCTACCCATCTATTGATGGACACGTACATTGCTTCCATATCTTGGCTACTGTAAACAGTGCTTCAGTGAACATAAGGGCATGAGTTCTTTTTGAATTAATTTTCTTCAGATAAATACCCAGAAGTGAAATTGCTGGATGTTATGTAGTTCTATTTTTAGGTTTTTAAGGAACCTCCATACTGTTTTGCATAGTGGCTGCACCAGTTTACATTTTCACCAAAAAACGCACGAGGGCTCCCGTTTTACCACAACCTCACCAACACTTACTGCTTCCTGTCTTTTTGATAACAGCCATCCTGACAGGTGTGAGGTGGTATCTCGCTGTGGTTTTGATTTGCATTTCCCTGATGATCAGTGATGTTGAGCACTTTTTCATGTTCTTGTTGGCCATCTGTCTTATTTGGAAAAATGTCTATTCAGATCTTCTGCCTAATTTTTAGTCATGTTGTTGGTTTTTTGATATTAATTTCTTCACTTATGGTTTGATGGATTCCTTTATTGTTATGTTTGGATTCCCTTCTTTTTGTGTGTGTGTATCCACTGCAGGTTTTTTGTTTGTGATTACCATGAGTTTCATACATATCAACCCATATCTATAGCTGTCTGTTTTAAGCTGATAGTCACTCAAGTTTGAAGGCATTCTAAAAGCACTACGTTTTTATTCCCGTTTCCATGTTTTATGTTTTTGATGTCATATTTTACATCTTTTTATTTTGTGTGTCCCTTAACTACCTATGTAGCTATAGTTGATTGTACTACTTTTGTCTTTTAACTGTCACACTAGCTTTTTAGTGGCTGATCCACTGCCTTTACTATTTATTTGCCTTTATGAGTGAGATTTTCCTTCATATATTTTCTTATTTCTAGTTGTGGTCTTTTCTGCTTAAAGAAGACCCTTTAACATTTCTTGTAAGGCTGTCTAGGTGTGATGAACCCCTTTAGTTTTTACTTATCTGGGAAACTCTATCTCTCCTTCAATTCTGAATCATAACCTTGCCAAATAGAGTATTCTAGGTTGTAAGTTTTTTCCTTTTAGCACTTTAGATATATCCGGCCTCTCCCTTCTGGCCTGTAAAGTTTCTGCTGAAAAGTCAGCTGACAGTCTTATGGGGTTTCCCTTGTATGTGATTAGTTGCTTTCTTTCTTGCTGCCTTTAAGACTCTCTTTTTATCTTTACCTTTTCCATTTTCATTTTAATGTCTTGGTGTGCATCTCTTTCAGTTCATCTTGTTTGGAGCTGTCTGTACTTCCTGTACTTGGATGTCTGTTTCCTTCCCCAGTTTAGGGAAGTTTTCAGCCATGATTTCTTCAAGTAAGTCTTCTATCCCATTCTCTCTTTCTTCTCCTTCTGGGATCCCTATAATGCAAATGTTATGATGCTTAATGTTGTCCCAGAGTTCCTTAAATGCTCCTCAATTTAAAAAATTCTTTTTTCTTTTTGCTGTTCTGGTTGGGTGATTTCCATTATTCTATCTTCCAGATCACTTATTCGTTCTTCTGTATTATCTAATCTGCTGTAGGTTCCCTCTAGCATATTTTTTATTTCAGTTATTGTACTATTCAGCTCTGATTTGTTGTTTCTTATATTTTCTAAGTCTTTGTTGAAGTTCTCCCTAAGTTCCTCCATTCTTCTCCTGAACTCAGTGAGCATCTTTATGATTGTTTCTTTGAAAGCTTTATCAGGTAAATTACTTATCTTCATTTCATTAGGGTTTTTCTTCTAGGGTTTTATTTTGTTCTTTCATTTGGAACATATTCCTCTGTCTCCTCATTTTGTTTTATGTATATCTATATCTATCTACCTACCTACTTACATTCTTTTTCAGATTCTTTTCCATTATAGGTTATTACAAGATATTGAATATAGTTCTCCATAGTATACAGTAGGTCCTTGTTGTTTATTTTACATATAGTAGTGTGTATCTGTTAATCCCAAACCCCTAATTTATCCCTCCCCCACTTTTCCCTTTGGTAAATGTAAGTTTATTTCTATGTCTGTTAGTCTATTTTGTAAATTAGTTCATTTGTATCATTATTTTTAGATTCCACATATAAGTGATATCATATATTTGTCTTTCTCTGTCTGACTTACTTCACCTAATATGATAATCTCTAGGTCCATCCATGTTGCTGCAAATAGAATTATTTCATTCTTTTTTTTCATGGCTGAGTAGTTCTATTGTGCGTGTATATATATATATATATATATACCCCATCTTCTTTATCCATTCATCTATCGATGGACATTTAAGTTGCTTCCATATCTTGGCTATTGTAAATAGTGTCACTCTGAACATTGGAGTGCATGTATCTTTTCGAATTAGAGTTTTCATCTTTTCCAGACATATGCCTAGGAGTGGGATTGCTGGATCTTACGCATCAAGGGTCTTTTATAGCAGAAATTATTTTATAATCTCTGAAATGACCTTATACCAAGAGTAATATTAATAGTTTGTTAAATAACTCCATAGTAAATAACCATGTTTAGGACACGTTTGCCTGCTTGAAAGAAAACAGGGCATTAATTTGGAAATTATTAATTTTTCATATTAATACATGAATAAACATTTAAGAAAAATGAGGGCCATAGTTCCATTTCTTTGTACTCTTTTAAGCAAAATTTTTTAACCAGTTATCTATATTTGTTTCCTCTAATGTCTCTCTTCTTATTACCTCTTAAAACTTGCTCCAAACATGTGTCTCCCATGAATGCTTCATTGAAACTGCTCTTTTCAGAGATACCAATGACTGTACTTTTATAGGTCCATCTGTCAGTTCTCAGGCCTCAGCGTAGGTGTGTGTCAGTAGCATTTGACATAGCTGGTTTCTCCCTCTACTCTGGAACAGTTTCTTCACTTTGCTTCCAGGACACACCCTCTCTTGGGTTTCCTCCTCCTCACTGGGCATTCCTTCTCAGTCTCCTTTGCTGGTCCCTCCTCTCCTCCCTGACCTTATAACCCTGGAGAGCTGCAGGGTCTTCTTCTTAGGCCTCTTCTCTTCCTTACTCCCTCCCTTGGTGATCTCACCCAGTTTCATGGCCTTAAATATCATCTACATGCTGCCAAAAGTGTATCTCCAGCCCAGACTCCTCTTCTGAACTCCAGACCTTTATACAACTGCCAACTTGACATCTCAGACTTAACAAGTCCAGACTCAAACTCCCATTCTTCCTTTTAAAGCCTGCCCCATCCACAGTCTACACCTCCCCAGTGGATGGCGACTCTATCCTTAATTAGTTCCGAACAAAAACCTTACAGTCATCCCTGACTCTTCTTTTGTCTTTTTTCTCACAGCCAAGTCTTGCTGGCTCCTCCTTCAAAATATATATGGAATCCAACCACTTTTCACCACCTCCACCTCTCCTAACCTGGTCTGAGCCACTGTCATCTCTCTCTTGGATAATTGCCATCACTTCTTAACAAGTCACCCTGCTTCTAACCCTTGCCCCTTGCTTCTACTACAGGCTAGTCTTAAGAATTCAGTCAGAGAGATACTTCAAAAATAAAGTCAGATCATGCTACTCTTCTGCTCAGAAACCTCGCAATGGTGTCCTATTTCACTCAGAGTAAAACAAGTTCCCTCAAAGGCTTATGCAACCCAGATGACCTGCTTCCTCATCACCTTTCTGGCCTCAACTGCTGCTAACTTCACCTTCACTCATTCCCCTCCAGCCATGCTGGTCTTCTTGTTGTTCCTCAAACACCTCAGACCTTTGGCCTGGAAAGCTTTACCCAGATGGCCACATGGCCCGTCCCCTCACCTTCTTCACATGTTCCCTAGGTTTTCACCTTCTCAATGGGGCCACCCTGCCACTTATTTCAACTGAACTTTCCTTCCCTCTTCACATCTAGCACTCTTGATCTCTTACCCTGGTTTACTATTTCCATTTTCCATAACATTTATGCCTTCTAATGTCTATTGAAATCACTTACTGTATTTATGGTTTATTTTCTGCTTCCCACCTATAATGTAGTCTCCATTAGGACAGGGATCTGTTTATTTTGTTCACTGATGTATTCTAAGCACCAGATCAGTGTTAGCTGCCTGGTAGGAAATCAGTAAATATTTTTAAATGAATGAAAATTCAAATCTTCAGAGACAGAAATGACAGGTATGAGAAAAGTCTGTAAAGACCCTATCCATGTTGGTTCAGTGATTTTAAAAGGGATTTTTATCTCTTACTTCTTAATGACAGAACTGAGCATATAACTTCACAAACTCACAAATTAAAAGCACCCACAACAGTCTGTTCACTTCAACTGTTGCTTTTGAAGAACTTGATAAAATATCTTGTCCTTCTATCCCTTCTTTTTTGGTAAGCCTCCTTTTAAATACTCAAATAACCTGGGTGTTACTGCTGGGAAGACATCAGAAAGGCATTTAGGTGAAGGATAGAATTTATCAGGGCCCATGGTCAAAACAGCTCCTCAATATTTATTCTATATTGTCTTTGAACGATAATATTCATAGTTCCCATCTGGACAGGCCTCATAGTGTTCATGGTACTGTGACGGGCCTTAAAATTCATGTGATCTGTTTTCTCAGATGAAAGTGGGAAGGATTCTGACAGCAAGTTGGTTTGTGGGTAAAAGCAATGACACCATTGGTCGAGGTCTGATGGCCACCATAGCTGTTACATGTTTATATTAATACTTCCCTTTTTGAGACATTTCAAGAAGTACTTTTCTCAGTAGTATGAGGCAGACTACATGTACTAATGACAAAATTTCTGAGGTTGCTCTTGAGTGTTTCCTGGTAAACCTAACCACGACATGGTGGGTACTTCATAAATGACAACATGGTGGGTACAGAGGTTAAAATAGGGTCATTCATCTCACAGTCTTTCTCAATGGAAGGCCCAAAATAATATATGCTATTTTATTCTCTAGTTTTCACCCATGCTCTTTTCCCCACTCCAGGGAAGGTTTAAGTGGATTTGCTATAACTGTGCTATGCATATGATAGACAGAATCTGTTACTATGATTAAATAATTGATTTATATTTAAAAAAAGCAATTGTCTGTTATTTATAATGGCAGTCCTATTACTTAAAGTAACTTTGTTTGGATAGATCAAAATTCATCACTCAATTTTTAACACTAGGGCTTGAAATTACTGTTTTTTTTTAATCAAAAGCATTAGAAGAATATACGATAGTTATAGGAATATGATAACATTATAGGAAGTTTGGACAATTAAAAAAACTACCTGTAATTCCATCTAACCATTATGATCATTTGTGAGCCAATAAACTAATCAGTCTGATGTTGGTTGTACTTAAGTTTTAAATCCTCTGCAAACCCACTTATTAATTCATTCTTTTGGCAATAATTTTTCAAGCATCTGTCTGTACCAGGCCCTGTGCTACACTATGGGTATTTTGTTGGTTCACAGGGAGAGGCCAAAGTCTCAACACTTGGCAAACATCAGCCATTCTGTGACTTCCTCTTTTGCCCAGAGGTCTAGAAGCAGCACAGGGGGGATGCCAGTCCAATGGTGACATGGTCACTCTTCTGCTTTGCTTGAAGATAAGGGCACTAATTCCTTTGCTTCTCCACCCTTCATCTGCAGATTACCTGGGCCTAGACTGGCCCTAAATCTCTGAGACAGACTGAACCCTAATAAATGGGTTGCTGATCCTAAAATAAAATTGCGAATCAGGTTTGGTGTTTGATGTAAAAGCCTGAGAGACACAGGTTTGTTGCTAATTTAGATTACAAATGTCATCAAAAATAGAAACCAAAAAGGTTAGGTAATTTCTAAATTAAACACTCTTTCTTAGAATAATTACCATGTTACAGCATCTGTGTACTTTGGTAGAATTTGAATAACACTTTATTGTTCAGAATAATGTTCTATTCTTGTTACCAAATAATACTTGAGTACATGCTCTTGTACTCCCTGACTGCAGGAAGGGTGTTGCCCTGAATGCTGGTACACCCTCTGCAGTGAAGCTTGGTTTTGATGGAACTTTTCAGGTACTAAAAGAATCCCTTTTTCTATTCCCCATTCATTCACAAGCAAGAGACATAGGCTTTGTTCATTTGTTTTCTAAATCTAAGTGAACTGAGTCAGGCTTGTACAGTCACCACTAAGGACAGACCATGGCAGCATGGAAAATATGATTTGAATCTCCTTTCCATGGAAACTGGCTATGAAAAGGGTAGGTCCATCAATCATAATTTGAAAGGCAAGTTACAAATCTTCTGATGAAGCCGTCTCAAGCTATCATCACAGCAAGTAGAACTGAGAACCCGTTTTTCAGCTGAGGAAATACACCTGGTCATTTTGGATATTTCCATCTTGATAGCTTAGCCAGTGGGAGAAGCTTCCTGGGCTTAAATAATAGTGTTTCAGCATTTCATGTTTCTAAGTTTGAGTCTGAATTTAAGGAATGCTAATCTGTAACAACAGTTACAGAATTCCACAGAATTTTGTCTAAAATGACATGAACTGGTTGTCATAGTCTGGGAGATAGTTCTTCACTAGGACACAGCTTTGCCTTTAGTCAAAGGTCATACATGCACAAGCAAACAATGGCTGTGTTTTGTATATTTTTCTGTTACTTTAATGCATTTAAATTTCAATTATGGGTGTACAAGACACGAGTTGTATTATTAAACTCTCCTTTATGCTTCTTAATGAGGACTATTTTTTTTTCTTCGAGTTGAAAACAAACCTTTTTAGCTTAAAAGGCTGTGTATTCTAAAAATGAATAATCACTATACAGAGACCATGATCACTATGCTATTTGTCCCTTAATATGTGCTCTCCTCTCTTCCACAGTAATAGAACCCCTGATTCTTTAGCTGGGCATGTAGCTGTTCAGGGGGAAAAAAAGGCTATTTCCCAGTTTCCTTTGCAAAGGACTGAGTGGAAGTTTTATATGGCGACTTCTGGAACTTTCCTTAAGTGACAGTTGGTATGTACCTCTTGCCCCTTCTTTGTCCCGTCCTCCATCCTGCTGCTACAATTGTGGACACGCTAGCAGGAGCTCTCACTGACATCTTGGCTCATGAAGACAAGGGCAACACGGCAGATGAGTGGGCAGAAATGTCATACCAGCTTGCCTACCTTTGCAGCTTTATATGAAACAAAGATAAACTATCCTGTTTAAATGACTGCTCTTGGGTCTATGTTTTTCAAAATGAAAACTAATCCTCATGTACACCATCACCTATAATGGAAAATAATGGACTGTTTAATCTCACATGAAGAAATAAACATACTGTAGCAGACACCTATTGGCTCATCTGCCCGACACCATTTTCCAGAACTGACCCTCTCTCTGCCACCATCTACTTAGTTATAGTGAGAGTTTCCAAGCTCTAGAACATGACCTAACCTTTTTTTTTTTTTTTTTGCGGTACGCGGCCTCTCACTGTTGTAGCCTCTCCCTTTGCGGAGCACAGGCTCTGGACGCGCAGGCTCAGTGGCCATGGCTCACGGGCCCAGCCGCTCCACGGCATGTGGGATCTTCCTGGACCAGGGCACGAACCCACGTCCCCTGCATCGGCAGGTGGACTCTCAACCACTGCGCCACCAGGGAAGCCCCATGACCTCACCTTTGACTGAAGGATGAGCCCCTGACCCAGCCTGGGCCAATCAAAAGCTTTCCCCAGGAACTTGAAAATAAAAAGGAAAAAAAAGAGATTAGTCTCTTTGGAGTATAAGACTATAGTAGTAAACACATGAGCTACTGGCAGCTTTGTTTTCCAGCAGGTGTTGGGAGAAGTAGAAGAAAACAGGCTACAGCGGGAAAGAACAATGAATCAGAGTCAAAGAGAGAAGCAGAGGGACTTCCCTGGTGGCTCAGTGGTTAAGAATCCATCTGCCAGTGCAGGGCACATGGGTTCGAGCCCTGGTCCAGGAAGATCCCACATGCCTCGGAGCAACCAAGCCCCGTGCACCACAACTACTGAGCCTGTGCTTTAGAGCCTCCGAGCCACAACTACTGAGCCCACGTGCCTCAACTATTGAGCCTGCACGCCTAGAGCCTGTGCTCTGCAACAAGAGAAGCCACTGCAATGAGAAGCCGGCGCACCATAACAAAGAGTAGCCCCCACTCGCCGCAAGTAGAGAAAGCCCCGTGTGCAGCAACGAACACCCAATGCAACCAAAAAGTTAATTAAAAGAGAGAGAAGCAGAGATTTAGGGATGGAGGCAGAGAAGATTCCTAGGTTCCCCAAAGTCCTCTCAGGCCTGGTTGTCTCAGCACTGCTACTTGCTTACTTAATATCCACTCTCCACTTTATCCTTTCTAAGCAATGCTGATGTTCTGAAACCCCCTCTCCCCCCATCCTTAGAGGGGGTTATAGATCGGCTGAAAAAAATATGTGCCTGACAATCCCCTGGCAACTCTATTGATCCAGTGATGGGCATGCCTCTTATATTGGCCCAATCTGATTGAAAATTTATATTCCATTTCTAGGGGGGCAATTTACTCTTTTTCCTGCTGGAGATGAACAAGGAAGCACATAGTCCTGATTCACTGTCAGCTCTCTTGCCTCTATGAAGGCGACCATCCTGGGATGAGGGCAACACGAAGATGGCAGCAAGAAGAATTCTAAAAAGTGTGAGCCTTTGATAGCATTTTTTAAATTATTTATTTATTTATTTATTATTTGGGGCTGCGTCTGGTCTTAGTTGCTGGCACGCGGGATCTTTCGTTGCGGCGTGGGCTCTTTGTTGCGGCACGTGGGCTTCTCTCTAGTTGTGGTGCACAGGTTTTCTCTCTCTAGCTGTGGCACGCGGGCTCCAGGGTGCATGGGCTCTGCGGTTTGCGGCACTCGGGCTCTAGTTGAGGCGCCGGAGTTCTGTAGTTGTGGCGATGGGCTTAGTTGCCCTGTGGCATGTGGGATCTTAGTTCCCCAACCAGGGATCAAACCCACCTCCCCTGCATTGGATGGCGGATTCTTTACCACTGGACCACCAGGGAAGTCCCTGAGGGCATTTCTGAGCCCACCCTGGACTGAATCAAATATATTTAGATAATAAATGACCTATTATAGAAGTCAGGGGTCATCAAAGTTTTTCTTAAAGGGCCAGACAGTAAAAAGTTTAAGATTTGCAGGCTATAAAGTCTTTGTCCTGACAAATCTACTCTGCCATTGTAGCTCTAAATGAGCCTTAGGAAATACATATATGAATGGCTCTGAATGTGTTCCAGTAAAACACCTGGTGACCAACCTGCAGGCCGTCATTTGCCAACCCCTGTTATAAGCCAGTTTGAGTCAGTTTTCTGTTACTTGTTGCCCAAACTACCATATATGATACACAGGTCCTAGTTCATTTCTGAGGGCCAGCTGCATCTTGCCCTTGGAGTCTATGAGAATCTCCAGTGTCCAGAGCAGATGGCCAAAATATTTAACAAAGGGTACAGCATAAACACCAACCCACCACGAACATGTACAACGGTCATCTTGGGGTGAACTGGCTAAATATTACTTTGCTATTATCTCTCTATGAAGTCCTCTTTGTTCCTGAAACCAGCCAGGGTTTATTTCTGTTATTTATAAACAAAAGCATCTTCACCGTTCTTTTTAGATTTTCATTTTGGGTACTCCTTTAATGATTTTACTCTTTTTTTTTTTTTGGTTAAAATGCTGATCAGTTTTATATTATTTCTTCTTTTTGAATCTTCCTGTCTTAAGTTCAGTATTCCAGTGACAAGACTGTAATACTGATTCTTTTAAAAACTGGCAGATGACAACGTTCCCTGATAATGAGCTCTTTTTTGAATTCCTGCAGGCCTTATGATCAATAACACACAGTCTAGCACTTGACACAGGGGGTGTGACTATAAAGTATCAAAAAGATTTTAGCACACATAACCACTGTTCAGACACCCAGTGTAGTTTGTTACATGCAGTTGCAACTATAAGTTATATTCCAGCAATGCTGCCATTTCTCAAAGCATCTTTGGAATTCCTCCAATCTTCCCACTTTATTTTAATATCTGATGTTGATGGAGATCTATCGCACTGTCATCAGGTCTGGCTTTGAATGAATTCCTGCCATTTGCAAAAAAGTAGATCCATCTTAAATATTTGCAATCATGGAGTATTTTCTTTTTCCCTTTCCTTTCTCACATAATTATTAGGCACCAAGCTATGCCGAATATGCACCTTTAACTCTTCTAGGTGCTTGTGAGATAAAGTCCCTATTACCAGTGTGTTCATAGTTTAAAAGGAGAGAAAATAAATAAATTACTATGTAACCCAAATTTGTCCAGGCTTCACCAGTCCATGAGTACAAATATGGTCCTAAGTCAAATAACCCGAATTTCACAAGCTTTGCCCCACTTACATATGTGGGAACATAGCCTCCTGCCAGGCTTTTGACATGGGTTCCCACACTAACCACTTATGTGTTTCCATTTCAGGTCTCCTCTCTGCTGCTTTCAAGCCTCAAAGATGCCAGGTGCCTGGGTTTTTTTGTTTTTGTTTTTGACTTTCAAAACTTTTCTTTAATGGTGAAGGAAAATGATACTATGTTACACTAGTTTAAAGCTTTTAACTTTGTTTTCAAAAAAATTCTAGAAAACCATCTAACAGGGGGTAAATCTCTGTAGTAGGTAGCCTGACTGGCAGCCAGCGTCTGTAAAACAGTTCAGAGTAGAGAATTCTTATTGTTTTCCAGACTGCCCTGCTTCAAAAAGGAAGAGGCAAGTTTAACCCAGTAAGCAAATGCAGAGCTAAAAGACAGGAGGAAAATGGGCCAAGAGAATGGCTGAGACATATTTTCTTTTCAATCGCAGACAGTTGCCCTCCTTTCTGGGGACAGATTTTAAAAGAACATAAATTTCTGCAGATGGTGCTTCCTGGTCATCACAGCAGCACTGAGCTCCAGGAAGGCAGGGGCTTTGTCCATTTTCTTCAGTATTGTATTCTTTGGGCCCACAACAGTGCCAGACACTTACTAGCAGCTCAAGACATACATGAACATAAAATGAATGAATGAAGCCGAAATAGAGTTAGTCCTTCATTCCACATTTCACTGCTACCCAGCTGTCTTCCACACAGAAATGGGAAGAATGCCCCGCCCTTCACTGGGTGCTATGTTTTGTTTTCTGGGTCCTAATGCCCTTTCTCTTTCTAAGTCCTTGATGATCACAGCCTTTTTCAAATTCTCTCAGCTCCTTTCTCTAAGAACTCAGGTCTGGTCCTTGGGTCATTGGTGGGAAAGACATACTTGAACCCCAACTATGGCCCAGGCTCAAACTTACTTTCCTGACTTAAAGATAATATGGAGTGATAAGTATTACACTAGATGCACATACAGGGACATAGTAAACAAGATGAGAAATTGAAGACAGTAGGAAATCATAGGGAGGGGGACAGATGGTGTAGAAAAGATGATGGATAAAACTGCCTGCTTCATAGTTTTGCCTTTTACTTGCCCTGAAAATTTTGCCTTCATAACCTGATTGTTAACGTCCTCCTCCTTGTTTTATAATTTCCTCTTTCCAAGTATGCAATAGGTGCTAGTTAAATATTTGTTGACTGGTTGACAAAGAGAATTAAGACCTTAGTGGAGTTTCATTGCTTTTCCCCTAATATTTGCTTTTCCATATTGATTGCTCTGTGGTCACACTGGTCTATGAGACACTGGATAATGAGAACTCAATGAACGCTCATTTGTTCAAATCAAAATCCACTTAAGGACTACATACAATGGGTCAAGGCTTGTGCTAGATGAAAAGCCCCAAAGATTAGTAAGATCTAATAAGATGCTCTAAAGAAGCATACAATGTAGCAGTAGAGATAAAGCAGGTCAAATAACTCTAATGTAAGGTAGAAGGAGTTCCATGGTGTACTAGAAGATCACATAACTTGCTATGGGAATACAAAGGAAGCAAAGAGATCTCTAATTTGTAAGCTCTGAGAAGGGTACACAGAGGAACTCTATGAGGAATAAGTAGGCTTTTAACCAGTGGAGATGGGTGGGGGGAAGCATATGGGTAGCGGGAACTCCATGAATATATGGAGGTGAAATTCAATCTACAAAGGAATGTATATCATAGATGTTTCCAGTATTCTCTCCCATTCTTTAGCAGTTGTGTATCAGTCTCTTAAAACAGAACCAGTAGAACAGTGGTACGGCACGTTTTTTGGTTGTTTTTTTTCAAGTTTGCACTGAAGGAGAGGGTTTCATGAACAATGCTGCTGGCAGTATTTTAAAAGAAAGACTAAAGCACCACGCTGCATGTGAATTGCTCCGTCCAACTGTGCATGCAAAGCAGATGGTTGTTAAACATTTGTTCCATCCCTGGTATTGTCTGCCTTATAAATGCTAAAGAGTAGGTGAAACGGAGAATTCTATCATGTTAAAGGAATTTTTGCCTATAATTTGTTTATAACACACTCCTGACTAACGGGCAAGCTCCCTGCTCCCTGGGGCTATGCTCCAAGTGCACACACATTCCAGAAAGATTAGCCTTTCCCTTGTTGCTGCTAAGAGCCCTAAAAGCCATGGAAATCAATACATACAATGATTTATCACTGACAGATTAAAATTTTCCATTGATTTCTTCTGGAATGGAAATTTGTGTCCCCCAAGGAGCTTTATTCTTTTAATAGACAACTAGGCACTCAGTTGTAATTTTAAGTTTTGAAATGCTTTGGCAACAGTTTTTATGAAACACACAGACGAAAAATGGCAAGGGGCCCTGGATAGTTTCAAAGTCTGGCTGAGATGTACAGAAGTGAATAGCGCTTGCTTGCCTGGGCCCACTGTGAGCCTTGGTCCCCTGAAGCAGATGCTCCGTCCCTTGCCATTGCCATGTATCTAACGACTGCTGTCAATTTGCAAGCACCAGCAGTCTGGTGGGCTCCTTGTCTTTCTTTCCTTTCTGAAAACAACTGTCTACTCAAAATGTACTCTGAGGCTATACATCTCAAGAGACCAGCAGGCAGTTAGTATTTGGAGGATCCATCATTCAAGCAGGCTTTATACTCGTGCGTTTCAAAGTTGAATGTGTGCATGAGTCTCCTGGGGACTCCATTAAAGCTCAGATTCTGATTCTGGGGTGAGACCTGAGATTCTACAGTTCTAGCATGCTCCCAGGGTTACCTGGAGTGGGATTTTAAACTCATCCTTCTCCAAGGTAGGAAGGACATGTGGTATGTGACAAGGACAGTGTGCTGAGCACTCAAAGGCCACGTGATAACATGTCACCCTGACCAAATGTCCCACAAACATCAGGAACAGAACCCAGAGGGAGAGTCTGAGCTCTTCACTGGGAAAGCCTGACCTTATTTGTTTCTCTGAAGCAATATGGCGATGGGATAAACAGAGGAAGAGAAAGAAAATAGATGGTTCATTCCCCTATTCCACATGTTTTAATCCCCTACTCCGTGCCAGGCATTTTCGGCACAGGGAATATAAATATAATAAGAAAATGGACAGAGGAGTAGACTATTTTGGAAAGGCAGACATTGAAAGCATTCCCCTCAACTCCTTTATTTTTGTCAGGAAACTTCTGCTCCAAGACCCTGTAAGGAATCTAGCTGTTCAGCATCGCCCAGGAGAACAACATTATCTGTCGTTGTGCTTTGTGTTCAAAGATACTTCTGGCAATGATGTTACTATTCCTGTGTGTGAGTCTGGCAGAAAGCCCTAAGATGTGACCTAATTTCCAAATAGCGTGTCCTTCTGGTGAGCTGTTATTAGTAAAACCTGCTGTAGTTTATGACTCTACCCTATAGACACTGAGAAAATCGAAGGAAAAGGAGGTTTCCAACTGGATTCATTTGTGTGACTAGATGATCTTTATGGAATAACAGCTTATGCCCATTATATGAAGAGATGATGTAGAAACCAACACACCATCTTTTCTTTCTGAGAGAAGGGCTTTTAAAAGCCTGGAAGTGGAAGATCATTAGGTAATTTGTTGTTAGCTCAAGAAGGGCACATCCTGGTATATTTATAGTCATGCTGCCCAGGGGGAGAATGTTTATGTATGGACCTGTTTTATCATCCCTTCTCTCCTGAGTGGGTCTTGAAAGTTAAATTATAACATCGCATTATGCTTAAAAGGAAAGGATGCTTCATAGAAAAAGCATTTACTAAGTTCTTAAGGGACTGTTGTGCACTGATCAAATGACAGATGGTGTTCGGTTTTCACAATGTAGGAGTGCTAAAAGAATGTAGGGTCACAGTGAAGGCATGGAAAATCAGAGTAAAATATGGTGCAAGTTGTTCTCAGCCTGGCATAAGAAGAGGAGGTACCAGGAAAATGATCCTAACCACCAAGGGAGGAAAGGAAACTGAAATGAAAAATGACAGTACTTCAATTTTTGAAAAGCAGGTCTGCACCCTAATTTAGCTATGGGATTTTGGGTAGGTCACCAGTGTCTCTGGGCCTCGCTCTATGAGTGCAGCAGATAAGAGGTTTTCGATGATCTTTAAGTCCCCTCCCAGCTCTGTAACTCTGAGTGCTTACTCTGTGTTAAATGCACCATAAAACAAACACCTTCAGAAGCACCATCCTCTATCTCTGGGAGGGTTTTTTTTTTTTTTTTTTTTTTTAAATCTACATTTTGCAAAAGAAACTAAGGTTTGGAGAGTTTAAGAAACCAGGCCAAGCTTACACATCTAATTGGAGACAGAGCTGGGATTCAAACCCAGGCAACTTGACACCACAGCTAATGCTTTTAAGCTTTACAACATGTTGCCTTTATAAGAATTGTATGGGTAAAGAAGGAATATTTTGTCACTTTCTTAGAAAATCAATTGGTGAGGTAGGGAGGTCCCTTACAATATTTGTTACATACCTGTTTTATAATTCTTGACATATTGGAGTTTGATCCTGATAAAGGAAGATGTTGTAACTGGTGTCATAATCTAATGTCCAGGAATTTAAGATGTGAGATGAGCAGCGCACACCTTCCTCAGTTCCTGCCTTCCTCAGCTCACTTAGCTGCAGGTATTGATAGCTTTACTTCTCAGGTTCTGGCCTGCCCAGCTGAGCCCAATTTGTCAGGCCAGGCTGCTTAAAAGTAACCACAGGAGCACTGACTGGTGGCATCTTAGGATTCGTGTTCCTATCTCCTGGACTCGAGATCCTGGGAGCTGGGAAGTTCTAGGCTGCAGACAGCAGCTTCCTCTCACTCTCTTCCAACAAAATTTCCCACACCCACATGACAGGGTTCCAGTAGAGTTTCCTAGTTTGCACGTCGACTTTCCTCCTGAGACTAGAATTCTGCACTAAACACCACCCTGCCTGGATGGGGCTAGGCTACCCTCCTCACCCCTTGGAGGAGGTGTGACAAAGGGCAGTGGTGGATGCCACCTTCATCATTTTTGCATATTTGCATCCCACTTGTATATATTCTTATTTACTTATATATACTCTTATTTACTTATATATATATTTTAAACAGACTCACTTTTAAAATTTAAATAGCTTAATCTTTTTGAGAGAGAAAACTTTGTCAAGGACGTTTATAGTTTTAAGTTTTATATTTAGGTCTATGATTTATTTTGAGTTAATTTTTGAAATATGGTCAGAGGTATGGATTGAGGGATTTTATTTTTTGCATACAGACAACCAATTATTGCAGCACGATTTATTGAAAAGATTATCTTTTCACCAAATGATTGTCTTTGCATCTTTGTTCCTCTCCTTGAGAGTTAGGCTGGGTTCTTTGTTCCTCTTGATTTCCAGCTTGGGAGCCAAAATTTGAGCTACCACCCACCTGGCTTCAACTGTTGCCCCTTCTAGGAGGTTCCTGCTGCCCATTCATTAGCCTGGACTCTATGTTTGCTATATCTTTGGACATTGTAATTTAGTCTCTTATTGACCTCTCTTTGGTTACTTCTGCTTAATAATATAACTCTCCCTTTTCTTAAGGGTTTACTAGGTACTCCAGCCCTAACTCTGCCAACCCTCCAAATTCTCTCTCTTTTTTTTTTAATATCAACTTGCCCTTGATGTCCCAAAAGTTACAAAATACAAAGTGAATTTGAAATTTTTTAAGGGGTAGGAAAGGGTAAGAAAAGTTTTGAATTTTGTACAGAAGAAAGGGGTGGGTATTCATAAAGCAGTGTCATTAACTGCTGGCATGTCCCAACTGGGATTCACTATTAAAGGGCTCTTGTGCATAATGAGTTATTTCCCTCATGTGATTTCTGTTTTAGGGTAGGACCAAAGCATCTATGTTCTATCCCACATATATCCCACACACAAAGGTACACATACAGACATCAACGCACACACATACACAGATATCCGGAAATATTTTTGCACTTAACTGTGGCTCCCCTTCCAGTTAATTTACAGACATATTTTGTAGTTATACTATAGGGGAAATTTCTAAGTTATCGGATTTTAGAGACTATAAGGATTCATCTGGGTTAGGTGGGCTGTCAACTCTGATGAAATGGTGGTGATGGTTTTGGAGCACTGCATTGAAAAGGATTGCCAGGCTGAGTTTAGCTCAGTGGGGAAAAACAACTTTCATTGATTAATCATGCCTGCCACGGTTCGGGGTGGTGGCATATATGTGGTATATTACTAACTCTGATCTAAGACTAGGCCACTCTGTTTTCCAGTGTAATAATCTCTTCTACACTATCTCTGAGTGCTGGCTTCTGTCTATTACAGGAATATTTTCAGTAACTGTGAGCTTGCTATTTTTCAAGAACGCTTACTGCATTGTTGAACAGTTTACATGTTGAGTCCAAACTCTATCATTGCAACTTCCGATCATTCGTCCCAATTCTACTATTTGGACCTGTACAGACCAAATTAATACCCTATTCCCCATCATAGCTCTTCAAATATGAGAAGATAGCTATTATATGATCTCTTCTCCTAGATAAACACCATTTCTTTCAGTTATTTTTCAGATATTGTGGTTTCTGGGTCTCCACCATCCTGGATGTTGTTTAATTTTTCCTTGCTACCTTTCAAGTTTGCTAATCAGAAAGGGACAAAGAATTTTGTCCTACCTTCCAGGTAGGATCTGACCAACTGGAATTAATTGGGACTCTCTTATTGACTTACACTTCCTTATATTAATAAGCTTTAGTTTGCACCTGAAACATGTTACTTGGCTATTTCACACTGAGCTTACAGTAAATATAAAAAAAAATTATTTTTATATAAATTACTTCACTCATTTCTTCTCTTTCCTGAGTTCATATTTGAATTTTTACCTTTTAAATTGTATCTTAATAATAACTGCCCTTTCTTGAGTACCGTGCTGCATGCTCTATTTGTGTTTTCTTTCATATCTAGAAGTAGATATTCATTCCAATTTAGCAGTTGTGAAAACTGAGACTCAGAGATGCCCAGTGTTACAGATCTAGTAAGTTGCAGAGCCTGCACTCAAATTCAGTTCTTTCTAGCTCTAGAGTCTATTCTCTTTTGGCTGCCAAATGCTCAATTTGATAATTTTGAAACCTGAATCCATCACAGAAAAAAAAAAAAAAAAAAGGTGGGAGGAGATAAATAGGCTGTCCTTTTGTCAAGATGTTCTTTATTTTTGGCATTCTGATGTACCAGTCAAGCACTTCATTTAAATACATAAATAAAAAGGAAATAAACTTTTCCTGACCAGTTCCTGGTGAACTCTTGTTGGTTCCTAGTGGTCATCTGTTTTAAAGTGTTCATGAGATGCCTGCTTAACTATCCAGTCTGGAACTTTTCTGGGGATTAATGGCAAGTTTATCAGTCTATAATTTCCAGAATCCATGATTACTGGGACATTTGTCTGTGTCCTTGGTCTGGTCCCTGTCCTACTTCCCATAAGATCTCACAGCTGCTCACTGATTCTACCCTTACATCTGCATATGTGTCCAGTTCTCTGGGATGGAAGTGGGGTTGGGGGTTGGGGAGTTGCCCTCCTTTAAAGTAGCTAAGTACTTTCACACCATATTCCCCTGTCTTTTTAAAATTTCTTCTCCATACTGTTATTTTTTCCATTTCCACTTTGTAGGTAAAAAGCAGAGCCTCTCTCTTAATGGAGGGATTAATGGAATAGACACACTCAACAAAGTTTCCAGCAATTTCTGTTAAGTGAATTCTAAAGTGAACTCTTATGGCCCCAACAATAACAAAAGACAGTGAGTGCACTTTCCCGAAAGCCCAACTTGTATTACAAGTCAGTGAAATGCATTTGGGTACTATCCACTCTTTCAGATGATCTGTGCTGGGAAACTTCTCCGTCAGTAAAAATAATAGAGCCAAATATGAGTATTAATAGATAAGGAACCCAGCAGAACCCTGCAGGGCCCTCCCCAAGTACAAACCGAGCAGTTGATGATTAAGACAACAGAGTCACAGACTTGGTGTCTGACGCACATTCCTGAGTCGTCTTACAGATACTGTAACTGCCACGAGAGGACAAAAAAAGAAAAAAAAAAAACTACTGATAACTGCATGATGACCAGACTGAAGCCATGACATAAGCTGCTCCAACTTAAGCAGTACTGAACCTATGCCTAGCACAATTCCAAGAGCTGGCCTTCAGAGAATAGGATTAACATTATTGCTCATAGTAATCTATATCTTTATGGGCATCAAAATAATTGCAGCTTGCTCTGCCCATCTATGTAAGGAGGCAACTAAAATAGTCAGCAAAGAGATGCTACAGACCCATGTTGACATCTTCCACTCTGAGAATACGGCGCCCTATGTCTGCACGAAGAAGTTACAGAAGATGCATCTTTGGCCCTAATCCCACAGAAATGAAATGATGTTTGACAGTAGGGAATTGAAAGCAGCTCTTTTGCCCCTTTCCTGCTTGCCCATTTCTGTACCCCTCTAACCTTAAAAGAACCTAATTATAGGAATGAGATCACTAGGCAATTTAACCTAACTCCTGACCATGCTCTCCTGAATGCACACCATGCCTTGCCTAACCTGTTGATTCTTTTCCCAGATTAAAAAGAAGTACGAATGAAGAATTAAGCAGTTTTAAAAAAAAAATGACTAGGTTTCTACCCCAACAGTGCCCCTAAAACAATCCTGCGGGCAGATCACTCAGGCAAGATAACATCTGGAGAAAGAGTCAGCCAGTCTGCATTAAAGGGAGAAAGATGCTGCGTTTAATGAACGGAACCTCCTGCCTCGACGATTCACTGAGATTCTTCACCACCATCCCCATTTTTCCCTTTAAAAACTGTCATGGGGCTTCCCTGGTGGCGCAGTGGTTGAGAGTCCGCCTGCCGACGCAGGGGACGCCGGTTCGTGCCCCGGTCCGGGAAGATCCCACATGCCATGGAGCGGCTGGGCCCGTGAGCCATGGCCGCTGAGCCTGCGCGTCCGGAGCCTGTGCTCCGCAACGGGAGAGGCCACAACAGTGAGAGGCCCACGTACCGCAAAACAACAACCACCACAAAAAACTGTCATGGTTGAGCAGAATCTTCGGAGTTGGTCTCTGGACACCATGCCACCATCTCCCCAGATTGCCAACTTTTCTGATTAAAGCACGTTTCCTTTCTATTGACACTTGCCTCTTGAATTAGTGGCTTATATTAAGAGCAGTGGGCAGCCGAACCTGGTTCCATTAACAGGTGTGGTTAATTCCCTGATTACGTCCCAACTAGATCTAAGAGTATATGTATGTTGAAAGTTTAAAGTTTCTAGCCTATGACATAGCCTGACACCCATATAACCGTCAAAAGATCAGTAGACCATGCAAATTAACACACCTGCCAGGACCCTGTGTGAGAGGGGTCCGGTGTTAACACAGAGCTGTTTCCTGGATAAGAGTTAGGACGCAAGCACTTAATAAAAGCTTACTCTCGGTTGTTTTCATGCTTCCCAGTGCTACAAAGAGAGCTTGTCTGTGAAACACTAGTAATTGCACATTGTTGGTGTGGAGGGACATTGAAAAACGATAAACTACAAGGAGCAGCGAGCTCCCTTTATAAATCTTACCTCGCCTAGATTAGCAACCGTGGACTTCAGTTTCCATGTGCTCTCTCCTCTTTGTAGTCCTCAAAGGCAAGCCCTGACTAAGCCCAGCTCCCTCCTTCCTTCTGACTCCTTATCTGGAAGCCCCCACCATCCTTCTAATCCCTTTAGAGGCTTTGAAATCCGGGTCTCTGAGCGCAGGCGGTCATGAATATTCATCTAGGGGCGTGGCCCCGCAGCGTGCTCGACTCCAGGCAGCTGGGATCTGCCGAATGGGCGCGCCAGCTGCGTGCCGGGGCAACAGTTCTCATTTTGTGTGGGGGGCTGACAAGATGTCCAGCCTCACGCCGGCTCGAGACCGCACATTGTGCGTGCGTGGGAGGGGCTTTGCCAAGACGAATGGACTTCTCTGAGGCAGGGCCTAGGAGCTGTCATTGGAGGGGCTCAAATCTCCCTGCCACCCACCTGCCAGGGCCTGTGAAATTCCATTGACAAAAATTCAGGCATTATCCTCTCCAGGAGTCTGTCACTTTTTAAGAAAACAAATATCCCTTGTGTGAATAACTGGAGGCTTTTATCCTTCGGTGGCACCTCCTCCTTTGCAATTCTCTCTGATGGAGACTCTTCTGCCTTCTCAGGACTAATCACAACTGTTCCTCACAGCAGTTTTGTTTTGGTTTTGTGTTTGTTTTTAAGATTATCAAGCCATCTTGTCTGTCTCCCCTCCTCTCCATCATCTTTATTTAGTAGTAGTATAGCAGTAGGGGTTAAAAAACAGACATCCTGAATTAAAATTCCAGTTTGACCACTTACAATCTGTATGAATGTGGCAAGTTAACTGCTTTTGCTTCAGTTTCTTCAACTGTATCATAACAGGAGGTAATAATACCACCTACATCATGGCGGTCTGAGGATGAAATTTCATTTTTGGATTTATTTATGTATACACATAAAATATGATACTGTAATATAAAATAGTCTAATATTAATTGGGTATAATATATACTTATATATTAATGTACAGTGGTTGCATACATTATCTACTATATATGATCATAAATATAAAATGCTTGTACAATTCCAGGCATGTATTAAACACTCAGTAAGTGTTAGTTATTGTTGTTGTTCTTTTGTCTTTTGACTGGACAGGACTGGCAGAAGACAGCTGAGTGTAAAACAGTGGAAGTCAGCTAGAGTACATGTTGCTGGAGGCGGAGTTCCATGAGAAGCAAAGGAGGCAAGAAACCACATCCACCCAAGGCAAGAAGAAAGTCAGGCTGAACCCAGAGGAAACAGGGAGGAACAGAGAGGTCAGCCTGCAGTGGGAGCTGGGATGCAGCTGAGAAGGGGGGTGCCAGTGGGGAAGTGTGGGAACCAATCCCCTTGAAGAAGCACAGTGTGCAGCAATAATGATCACAGTACCGCAACTCGCTCTTTCCTTTGTTTGATTTTAGGCTGAGTCCCAGACCCTAGTCTGCACGCCACTGACTCTTAAAGCAACAGGAACCTCAGGCAGGCCCTAGGAGCAGGAGCTGGCGCTTTCCTTGGGGTGTCTCAGTTTGAGAAGCTTTTGCTCTAGGATTCTCCATCGACCCCATCTTCCTGTCTTTGCACTATTCCCATCTTTAAAATCCCATTATCCACAGCACAGCACTCAGGCTCTGAACCCCACCCAGTCCTTCTAGTTATGCTGGCTTTGACTTTACCTACCTTCCTATCTCTTCTGACATTGTCCACCCACCCTTTTATTTCCCCACAAGACGTATTACCCCCACCACCCCCCATTGATTTCCAGGTATTCCAGTCTTCCTATGGTTTCCTAAACATGTGGTTTTGGAAACAGTGCTGTGTTCACTACTTCATTTCATTTTCCTGGGCAGCTAAGAAGATATTTCCCAGTTAGGTTAGGACAATGAGCAAATTCTTAACGACAGAAAAGTGGGCAGAGGCATATGACACTTCTGGTTCAAGGAAGGTAAGAGGGGATCTGAGTTCTTCGTGGTCATCCTCTCTTGTCTATAATTCAGGAAGTGCAGGAATCTAAGACAGTGGTTTGCAAGATGGAAGCAGACTGGATCCCGAGTTTCTGTTGCAGGAACGCGGACCAACTGGAATTGGATTATTTTTTTTAATGAGAAGAAAAGCCATTGAGATTATGGAGTTTATGATCTCAGCAGATCCCATCCTATCCTGACAAATCATACCCATGCTATGCTCTTTCTCATTTTGGTGTGTCTCTAATAACATTATGCCCCTTGAAATACCTCCCTGATTTCCTACCCTGCAGTAAAGTGCTATTATCTTTGGAGTCTCCTCTGTGCTCTTATGTTGTGCTTAGGTTTCTGGCCTGAGTGATTGGTTGAATCTTGGCACCAGTAAATGAAAAGGAGGAAGAGGAATACATTTGGTAGAGACGAAGAGCTCCCTAATATGCATGATGAATTTGAGAATAGGATATCCAGGCAGAGATGTCCAGTAGGTATTTGGATATATGAAAAGTAAGATAAGAAGAGGGTGGAAGATGGGAAGATGGAGCTGAGTGAAACCCCAACATTTAGGGGAAGGCAGAGAAGGCAGAGCCCTTACAAACTTCCCTAACTTCACAGTGTCCCCCTAGGCCATTCACGGTTGAGCATGAATCTGGGCAACTAGCACGAGTTTGTCGATCAAAATTTACAAATGTGAAATTTAATTTCTGAAGAAAACAGGGTACTGTGCAATCAAAGCTGTTGGATAGACATGAAAAAGTCTTTGAAGGTGGAATGGCTTTGCCTTTATTACTGAGAAAACTTCCCTTGGAAAGTTTAGCTTTGATCATGTTAAAGGAAACCATAAATTGGTAAATTTAATTTAAATCCTACCCTGGCTTTTATATTCCTGGCTTTCCTCAACCTGAAGTCTTCTGGCTTAGATCAACCTAAAGGAGTGAGAAGGTTGCGAAGATTTTAAACTTGCTTATAGGAGTCGATTGTTTTCACTATCCTCTGTTTTGTTTTGTTTTTCTTCATGTGATTGCTCATTGCAGATAATTATAAAATTATTCTAAGTGGTCACCCTATTACTGCAGATCCTTTTTTTTTTTTTTTGTGGTACGCGGGCCTCTCACTGTTGTGGCCTCTCCCGTTGCGGAGCAACAGGCTCCCGACGCGCAGGCTCAGCGGCCATGGCTCACGGGCCCAGCCGCTCCACGGCATGTGGGATCTTCCCGGACCGGGGCACGAACCCATGTCCCCCACATCGGCAGGCAGACTCTCAACCACTGCGCCACCAGGGAAGCCCCTACTGCAGATCTTTAAATGGCACCTGGACTACCTTCATGGGTCAAGAGAGGTGTAACCGGTGCATATATCAAGGCTATCAGCAGACCACTGAGGTTCTTTCAACACAGATGCTATTTAACATCTGCAGTTTCAGAGGCTCCCAGGCCCAGATTTCTGGAGTATCTCTCCCTCAGAAGTGTAACTCCCTTTGAAATCAGTTCCATGTGAAAAGGGGGTGGTTTCTGTTTGATACAGAGGTATAGATAATATCAACCATTATATTGTCAAATAAAATTCCAAATGGAGCTCAACATGCTGGTTTAATGCAGTTTGGGTTTGGAAGGTGAGAACCCCCAAATGCATTTTCAGTAGCCAATTTTGTCACAAATCCTACCATTAGATGCAGCATTAAGTAATTTAACCCTTTCTTAAGTCTTTGGGCAAATTTAAGTGCCTATTACATCTGCCCTCAATCTTGGGAGTCTGTAGTAAAAATGCAGTCTGTATGGTATATGGATATACCACCATGCAGTATGTGGTGTATTTGATGAACATCATACATTAAAAGCCATAACAGAGAGTGAGGGAGAGGAGAACAGACAGTGAAAGGCATCCTGCCCTGTGTCAAGGGCACCACTCCAGAGTGACATCTGCTCATAAGCTGCTGGACAGCATTTCTCCCACATTGAAAAAATTATCCTTGTGATCTGCAGATTGAATGTCTTGTCCATGTGTTTATTAATGGTTTTACATTTCCTTTCATCAAGTTGGTGGAAACATTCACATGTCCTCTAAATGTATGTAGCTCTGTTGTTCTTTGTGGAATCATGGCTGTAACTAGCATTTTGTTTGTCTCTGAGTGCCTATTATGGACTAGTCCTTATGTTAGGGGTTTATATAACATCTTCAGTATCCACATCAGCTCTACAAGATGGCCATTACAATTTTCCTTGTATAGATGAGGAAACTGAGTCTTGGAGAGGTTAGTAAATTGCTTCGGGTCACAGCTGGTGAGTGGTAGAGTTGGATTCAGAGCCTCCA